AGGGCTGTAGGGGTGGTGAGGAGGACTGTGCACGGTCCTTTCCAGCGAGGCTCTAAGCTTCGAGCCTGATGCCTCCGGACCCAGACGGTGTCACCTGGTTGGAAGGGATGGGGGGGCAATAGGGGTGTTAACAGCATCTTGGTAGGCTGCTGCCAGGGGCTTCCAGATTTCTTCGTGTGCCAGCTGCAACGCTCGCAGGTGCGTCTGCAGGGAAGGGGTGCTAACAAAGTTAGAGATGTCTGGATCAAGAAAAGAGACAGCCGGGGGAGGGGTCCCGTACAGAATTTCAAAGGGGGTTAATCCACTGGGCCCAGGAGTATTCCTGGCCCGATATAGGGCTAGGGGGAGGAGGGTCACCCAGTCCTTAGTGCCAGTTGCCAGCGAGAATTTAGTTAAAGCCTCTTTAATGGTTCTATTCATTCGTTCTACCTGGCCTGAGCTCTGGGGTCTGTAAGCACAATGTAATTTCCATTCGATCCCCAGTAACCTGGCCACTGTCTGACTTACCTGGGAGACGAAGGCTGGTTCGTTATCTGACCCTATTACCTGAGGCATCCCGAATCGAGGAAAGATGTCTTCCAATAGCTTCTTAGACACCATTTTGGCAGTTTCTGTCTTCGTCGGGTATGCCTCTGGCCATCCAGAGAAGGTGTCAATGAAAACTAGCAGATACTTGTATCCATATATTCCTGGTTTAACTTCAGTAAAATCGACTTCCCAATGGACCCCAGGCCTGTGACCTCTTTGCCTCACTCCTCCTTGGGCTTTATTTTTGCCCCAGTTCACCTGGGCACAGGCTTTACAGTTCTTAACAATCTTTTGTAGGTACGATGGCATCTTTGGGAGATAATGAATGGTTTCTTCTCACTCGATTAGTCTTTTCATTTTGGTTACTCCCAAGTGGGTCCACCTGTGAAGTGCATCTAGGAGTTCCTCTACCGATTGCTGAGGCAGGACAGTTTTCCCTTGGTACTCCCAGTATCCTGTTTCTGGGTTGTTGAAAGCTCCAATTTTCTCAAGTAATTTTCTGTCCTCTGGAGTGTAGTCTCTGGTGGCCTCCTGCCTTTTGCGTTCAGTGTCAATTTGCACAGTTAGTATTTGGCTCCTGGAGGCAATGTCCCTGGCCGTCTGGTCAGCTAGGCGATTTCCTCTTGCCTCGGAGTGGTTTCCTTTCTGGTGGCCTGGGCAGTGCATAATGCTGAGTTCTTTTGGTAAGAACAAAGCCTCTAGTAGTGCTATGATCTCAGCTTTGTTTTTTATTTCTTTTCCCTCTGAAGTAAGAAGTCCTCTTCTTTTGTAAATCTCTCCATGGATGTGCGCAGTGGCGAAGGCGTATCGGCTATCCGTATACACGTTTAGCTTTTTGCCTTCCGCCAATCGCAGGGCCTGTGTCAGGGCCACCAGCTCAGCTTTTTGTGCAGATGTCCCTTCTGGTAAAGGCTCTGCCCATATTACTTTGTTGTCCGAGGTGAC